GACTCAATTTGCACTATTTCTGGCAGTCTGCAACCCCCCAAAGACTGAGGGACTCTCTGCATGTGAGAGCCCTTGAAAGATCAATAGTGGAAGGGAGATTATACAAACTGTAGGTCACAAGGGTCCTCAAACTATGGCCCACGGGCCACATGCGGCCCACCGAGGACATTTATCCGGCCTGCTAGGTGTTTTTGCTGCCACTGCCTGTCCTGCTTAGCAGGTTTTTTAAAAACTATATTCCAGCCCTCCAATGGTCTGAGAGACAGTGAACTGGCCCCCTGTTTAAAAAGTTTGAGGACCCCTGCTGTAGGAGCGTCTGTGATCAGAGGGAGGAAGGATGGATGGATGGATGGATAGAGGGATAGAGGGATGGATGGATAGACCAGGGATATGGAGGTTAGAGGAGGTTCTGGAGCTCTTCCTCCCCCTTTTGCTGGCAGATTTTTGGGCATTTTTAATGCATGAAATTAATATTAACTTAGAACCCAAAAGAACCCAAATCATCTGCTGCTGATATGAGTGTGCAAAATGGTGAGAACTGCCTTGGGCAAAGAAACGACATTCTATAGGTGCTGCGATGTGGGTGCATATTTGGGTAGAGAATTCCACTGCCCCATTTCCCCCTCCTTTTCTTTCCCCCCCTTCTCTTCTCCTGAGACCAGTGGCAGCCTCCAAGTCCACCTCCACCACATACATTTCCAAAGGTATTAACAAGAGCTTGGAATTCCTGGGTGGATTTGTGCACAAGGATGCTTTTGTCCTCTCTGCTGCGTTTGATGTCGCCTTCTGCCAGCCATGTGCCTTCGCAGACCTGCTCTGTGTTGCGGCTTCTGATGCAAACTTGGACTTCTAAGTAGGGGCTTCTTAGCCAAAGGACCAACTGTACCCTTGGGCAGAACCCTTACGGTTTTCGGAGAACATTAAATTGTTAGATATGTAATTGCATTTTACATTTTTACTAATTTTAACAGGAAAGCGATTTGGGTTTTGGAGGAGCACCACCACCAAAATGCCCTAGGATAAAGAAGGGCACATTGTGGCCCATTGGCTCCCCAAAGCCTCCCAATTTAATTTTTTCAGGCTGATTTTTTGTTTGCCCTCAAACTGGGCAAACTGTATCTGAAAATGCAGCTGTTTGCTTCCCCTAATCCCTCTGCCCCCCTACCTTGAAAGCCAAAAAGCCCCCACCCAAAATGGCAGTCAAAAGTGACATTGCATTGGGCACACCAAAATATGCCAATGCGACCCATTAGGCAAGTGTAGGAAGGAGAATGGCCCATTGTCCACCATGCCTTAGGTCCATTTCTGTTTAGCAACTGGGGCAGAAGGAGAAGATCCATCTCCAAGAGTGAAAAGTCTTGAGTCCGCTTATTTTTCAAAAGAACAAAAATATTTGGAGCGGATTGGAGTGCATTTTGAGCTTGGGCAGAAATTGGTGGCAGTCTCTTTGGCATCCAGTTCAGGCTCTTCCTGATCTTCTATGCCAGGGGTGGGAATTGTGCAACCCTCCAGATGTTGTTGGACTTCAATTCCCAGCAGTTCCATTGCAATCTTGAGTGCCACGTAATTCTCACTGGTATATAAACTTGTACCTGTGCAAGTAATTTGCTAATCTATACATGATCTCTGCTCCTTGAAGAGAGGTAGCTCTCTCCCTCTCCCTTTGCAAATTAATTGCAATTAGAAAATCTCTTCTAACAGGCCATAAACACTCTTTTAAATGGACAGATATTTGCCATCCAGAGCAATTAACTAGACCATTAAAGTGCCCTAATTGAAAGATTATGGCCATTTTAAAATCATCCATTCTGTTTAAAAGATTCAAATAAAATTACTAAGGTAAAATAGCACTGAACCACAAAATTAAGTACTTAAATTAAAAAACAAACAAACCACTTTGAGTGGCAATTTTCAACCCAATGTCTGTGTATTGAGGTTGGTTGGTGGTAGAACCCAGATGGGGTGAAAATTACAGTAATTGTGCGTGATAGTATATTAATGTTCCTGCATTTAAATTTGCTGTTCACATGATGCATGCAAACATACAAATGTAGAGAGATCTTGCAGCACCTTTGAAAATTTTGGGTTACGGTAGTCACAAAGATGCTACAAGATCTCTCTACATACTGATTCTACAGACTAACACGCCTATATCTTTGAATTCTGCAAACATACAAAGTCATTAATAACCACTCCTGTGCTCTTGCACCATCAATGCGCAATAAAGTGGCAAGTGAAATGTATACCACTTCTTTGAGGTGTGTGTTTTGCCATTGTGTGGTCCTTCTTAAATACTGATCCCTGAACTGCAAATCCCTGGATTACATAGGACGTTGCCATAGGAGTTAAAGTGGAATCATAGTGCTATAATTGTGTAGTGTGAAAGGGCCCAGGAATAAGACCCAAAACCCTATCAATTACCCATAGGCCATCTTTCACATCCTGGAATTGTGTTCTTGTGTTCTGGGTTGGGTGCCACCGGGACTCTTGAAACGAAGGAAATTCTCCCGATCACAGTAAAACCGATGTTGTTCCAGGGTTTCTACTGTGGCTTCAGTAGACTGATCTTCTGTTTCACAGGTAAAAAGCCTGTCTATCTGTGTATGCACACATGCACCTGTGTGCCATTTCCCTTCCCAGACCTGTCCCCCACCTATCCCATTAGAGGTGACCTTTAAATATATATATATATATATATATATATATATATATATATATAAAACCAAGGGGGAGGGAATTCACAGCCCTGTAGGGTGCCATGATCCTGCAAGCCAAAGCACCATGCAAGAGGACAGGCAGCTTTGTCACACGTCGGTCCAGGATGGCAGACACAGCCAGCTGTCCTTCTCCGGATTAATGTCACTCACTTGTCAGTTCCCAACCAAGTGAATAATTTCCTCCCCCTGTGCCCCCCATGTCTCTTGTTTGTTTCCAAAATCCCTACCTTCAAATGGATGCTCAGGATGTCAGGAGTGCATGCGGCAGAAATAGGCAGTTGATTCTCTTTCCCCTACAAAGTATAGGACTCCTTTGCAGTGGCGGCGGGTGCATTTTGTGCAGCATAGCCTTTAATTGGGTTGAATTAGCAAGGACAGACCCAATTCATACTGTGCCATCCTACTTTATCAGCAGTTTTTAAAATGTCCTACTTTCTCCCACCTGCTTCCACTTTCCCACTTTGTCCTCAGCTTACTTCACTTGCTGCAAACTGAATCCAAAGTTTCAAAGTAGTTAACATTCAATGAACTCAGCAGGTGGGAGAAGGGGTGAGATTTTGCCCTCCCAAGTTTGTTGCTATTGTTGTGTGCCTTCAAGTCTTTTCAGACCTAAGGCCATAAGTTTCAGCAAGTTTCTTCAGAGGAGGTTTGCCATTGCCATCCTCTGAGGCTGAGAGAGTGTGATGTGACCATGGTCACCTGGTCTCCCAGAGTCCTAATCCAGCACTCAAGTTACTATACCACACGTGCTTTGAAAAACAGTCTTTTCTTTTGGCAAGATTTCTTCAGAGGATGTTTGCCAGTCCATTGCCTTCCTCTAAGGCTGAGACGGTATGACTTATCCAAGATCATGTGGGGGTTTGCTTGCCCAAGGGAGGATTTGAACCTTGGTCTCCTGGAGTCCTAGTCCAAAGATCAAGCCACTACACCAGGGCAGTTTTTTGATATATAGTGTGCCCTTGGTATCCGCTGAGGTTTGGTTCCAGGATCCCCCAACAACAAAACAAAATCTGTGGATACTTAAGTCTCATTAAATACAATGGCCCAGTAAAATAGTGTCCCTATATAAAATGGCAAAATCAAGGTTTGCTTTTTGGAATTTATATTTTTGGGGCATATTTTCAAGCCATGGATGCTCGGATCCATGCATAAAGAATCCGTGGATACAGAGGGCCAACGATGCTGTGAACAAAATGCCAGCAATGTCCCCCTCCTGAATCTTCGAGCCACAACATGACCAAAACAAGCTGTAACTCTCCCCCCTCCTTGTTTTCTTGTTCTCTCTCTTTGCAGAGACACACAGGTAACCCTGTTGCCCTCTGCACTGCCAGATCCCACACGTGTATGAACAGATCTGGGCAATGCCGGCAGAAAGAAGTGTTCTCATAAAAGCACGGGGGAAATTCAAAGAGAGACAAAGGGTCTGGCTGGATTGGAAAGACTGGGCGCTCTTCCCCCTTTGGAGCCGCTGTTATGGGGGACACCCAGGGCATCGAGTTGCACATCAAGAGCATGGTAGGTCACTTTGTTTGCTAAATTTTATAGGTTTTTTTTTTAAATTAAAGGATACAGGTTGACTCTCCCTGATCTGGAATTGTGAAATCCGAAATACTCCAAAAACTTTTTTTCATGGGAGGCTGAATTAGTAACACCTTTGCTTTCTGATTGTTCAGTGTACACAAACTCTTCATGCACAAAATTATGTACAATTTTTTAAAATTACCTTCAGGCTCTGTGTATAAGATGTATACGGAACATACTGTAAGTTAATTTTGTGGGCCCCATCTCCAAGACATCTCATTGTGGACATATATGCAAACACAAGTATTCCAAAATCCAGTATGTGTGTATATATATATATATATATATATATATATATATATAT